TACAAAACATCATCATCATAAAATCTAACTTTTGGCCAGCTGATTCCCCAATATGCAGTACAGTTTCTTCGTCACTTTTTTCTAAAATTAGTGCAGTTCTGTATTAGTAGGCAGACTAGCAATGCAAAATATGTGAATGCAGGCAATTCACTGTGCATAATGGCCCTATTTGGGGGTGCTCGGAAATTTACGATTTACGCATAGGAACAGAGGGTGTAACTAATATGTGTTATTCTTTATTTTTCTGTTACGTGTGTCCCACGAAAAAGAAGTGGAATATGTTTTTTTAACCGGACCTCTCGGCACAATACCTGCTATTTGTTTGGGTGTTGCTTTTGTATTTTGGGTTTTTCAACCGAAGCCAGAAAAGGCACAAACAAATAGGAGGGCCATGTGTAATTTACACGCTTTGTGCTGTTAGGCATTGTTAGCTTTCAATACTCTCAAAATAATTGTAGCTTTTCACACATAAGAAAGATCGGGTTTTAGCTCCATGGTAGCTATGAGTGGAGGTCGGAAAAGAAGAAGACGAAGAAACTTGATTGTACAGTTCACTTCTTCACATATTTGAGTTAGTATAAACAAATGTACAATTAGTCTGTTGTCACCACTAATCAGTATGAGGATTGATAATGCTTTAAAGAAATTTGATGTTACATGCACACAATAATCATTGCATTACTCTGATGTGAATAGTGGATTATCCATACGGCTGTGCTGTGGGTGTGTAGATGCAGGAAGGATGCATTATGACGTCTCCTGACCAACATAGTGCAGGACTGCAGGGAGCTGATCCCTTGAAACATCCATCTGAGCTAGCCGAAATAAAGCCTAATTCTACCACTGGAAAAGAGAATATGGAGTTACCGAATAATCTGAACACCACGACAAAGAAGGTTGCTTCAAACAGCAGATAAAAGTGATGATCAAACGGGAAATGCAGAAGAAACTCATGGAAATGATGCGGGGACAACAGGAGAAGCAACTGTTGAAAATGACGAGCCTTAGAGGAGGAAGCTAATGCATCATTCGATTTGTTTCGGGATGCAGAAGACCTCCCTGAAGAGTACAGTTATAATTATGATGTATGTTATCTCCCTGAAGAGTACAGTTATGATTATGATGATTATGTTGACGATACCACGTGGGGAGACGAGGATTGTACAGAAACAAGAGCATGAGAAAGCGGAAGATTATGTGCACATATATGCTCACATATTGTCGACCCCAGTAAGTGAACCTTTTTCTACATATATTTGATGTTTGTTCTATTAATGTTCTTGCGTTGGTTACTTGGTTTGACATTCTTTCTACAGGTAATTGCAGACATTGACAATGACGGTGTACAAGAAATGGTTGTTGCTGTATCTACTTCTTTGGCCACGAGTGCGGCTGCTTTCTCTGCTACTAATGCATTTCGTACGTGTTGCTCATCAGCTCATGAGATCGGGATGATGAGTTATAAATAAGAATCTCTGAACGTCAGTTTATCTGTGATGTCCTATGTTGCATGCATGTGCGCCATTAATGCTCTCCGAGATTAATTTTCCAAAATAGGACCCCTTTGTTCTCTCTTACCATGGACTGGTTGGTTGATTGTGCATTTGCTTACCTGAATAATTTTATGCTTTGCTTTGATTGTTTTTGTTCTGCTTCATGCTTGTTCCAGTAATGAACCGAAGGTGCTAAAGCAGAAGCTAGGTGTTTGTTTATCTTGCTGTGCTATCTTTTGGATATGATTGAAATGTTTTTTTTTAATGCAAAACTTTCAGCCACAACATGAGCATTTCATTATATCTTGCCTGTGTTACCGTGGTGGCGTACCTTTTGCAGTCTAGAAGCTATGATAACGCACAGCATTTAAAAGAGCTAGGAAGGATTGACATAGGGAAATATATTGCAAGCATTATAGTTGTTTTTAACCTTGACACAAAACAAGTTAAATGGACAGCAGACCTCGATTTGAGTATCGAAGACAGGAACTTCTGTGCCCATGCATATTCATCTCCAACTGTGATTGATTTGGATGGTGATGGAAATTCGGACATCCTTGTTGGAACTTCCTATGGCTTGCTAAGTTCTGCTGTTGACAAATTAGATGACCAGAACTGTTGACACAAGATACCAAGTTAGAACATCATTTGCTACCAAAGCAAAAAAATTAACAAAGTAACATAACAGATTTCAGTATACCAGGTGTTTTACTTGCAGTTGCTATCTCCTAGTGATACAACAGGACAAGTTAAAAAATGAGACCAGCCAATATCAGCAAGAGAGCAAGATAAGGATCATCCAATCCCAAGCATCCTATCCAGCACAGAGCACAGCTGTGTCATATCTGTGCACTCCCCTGGACCCTTTCTGCAGAATGCCTTGATCACATTGGCGAAAACGATAGCATCTAAAGCGACTCCTTTCACTAGCATGTCATCAAACAGACTCAAAGCCTCTCGAACATTTCCGCTCGTAACCAACCAGAAAGCCAGATGCGCTACGGGCTCCGCAGGGTAGCCGCCGTCGATGTGCCTGACCAGATTGGCAGCCTCAGTCCTCCTCCCAGACCTAAAGAGGCAATCGACCAGCGTGTTGTATGTGATTGTATCTGGGGTAATCTTCCCTGCGTCAACATCGGAGAACAAGAACCCGAGCTCGCCCTCCTTTCCAGCACTGTAGAACTGATGGATCAGAATGTTACAGGTCACGGTGTCCGCCACAAACCCGTTGCAACTGAACACGAACTTGGCGAGCTCAAACTTGCCAGCTCGGCACAGGGATGAGATCAAGATGTTGTACGTCTGCACATCGGGTGTTATGGGCTTCTTGAGCAGATCGGTGAACAGCCTGAGGGCAATCAGCCACTGCATCTTCTTGGAGAAATGTTCCATGACCGTGTTGTACGTCACGACGTCGACTTCGAAGCCCAGCTCTTCGCAGCGCTCCATCACCACCTTGGCAACCCACATATCTACATCCTTGGCGGCGTAATCCAGCAGTATGTTGAGGCCGATCACTGTGAGCTGTAGCCCCTTGGCGACCATGATGTCCAGCTGCCTGAACGCGTCCTCGATGTACCCAGCCCGGCAGAGCCCGGCAACGTAGGTGCTGTAGGTCACCGCGTCCGGCACCCACCAGTTCCAGACGCTGTCGTTGATAACCCTCTGCACGGCGTGGAAATCCCCGACCCTGCACAGCCCGTGGATGTAGATGTTGTAAATGATGACGTCGGGGTTGCACCCGGAGCGGCCCCCGGAGGCGCGCATGAAGGCGATGAGCGCCTCGGCGGCCGGGATGTCGGCGGCGTCGCAGTGGGCCTGGAGTATCGGCGAGTAGACGTGCGGGGTGAGCGGGTACCCGAGCTCGCGCATTTCGTCGAGCAGCTGGAGCGCGTCCGGGAGCTGGCCCGCGCGGCAGAAGGAGAAGATGAGGTCGGCGTAGTCGACGGCGCTGGGGCGGACGCCGCGGCCGGTCATCCAGTGCAGCACGGAGAGGCCGGCGGCGGGGAGGCCGAGGTGGGTGGAGTAGACGTGGAGGAGGAGCGAGTAGGCGCGGCGGTCGGGCGCCACGCCGTGCGCGAGCATGTCGTCGAAGAGCGCCGTGGCGTCGGCGGCGCGGCCGGCCTTGGCGAGCGCCGACATGGCGGAGACGTAGGAGGCGGCCGTGGGCGCGCAGGCCGCGGGCGAGCCGTGGCGCATGCGGCGGAGCACGCGCAGCGCCGACTCGCCGTCCCCGTCCCGCGCCAGGGCCGCCAGCAGGCGGTTGTAGTCGTCCAGGGTGTGCGCCGGGGAGGAGGGGGAGGTGGTGGTGGCGGCGGTGGAGTGGGTGTGGGTGCGGGGGACGAGGCGCCCGAGCGTGCGCACCGCCGCGCGCGCCGCCGCCGCGGCCGCCGGCCACGCGCCGGCGGCCATGGAGGGTCGGCGGAGGCAGCAGGGTGGAGCCAAAGCGCGGAAGGGAAGGCGGACTTGGACGGCGGCGGCGGCTTTGTGGCTGTGGAGCGGCGGCGATGGCGATCTGATGAAGCGGCGGGCCGCATGGGCTGGCTGGAACTGGCGGTGAGATCCAAGCGGCTGTGTCAATGCCACTGCACAGGTTCAGTAATACTACTAGCTCTGTTCCTGATTAAAACGGTTTATTTTACTCATTCACGGTTTAATTTGGCATCAATGTTCAAAAAGAATATTCAGACAGTAAAATGATGCCAATGTGTTTGATGTGGAGAAAGGATTATGCTACAAATTTAAGTAAAAAATCTATCAAATAGGCTTGAAAGTGTCGCGCCATCTTTATCTCAAAATAACCACATATATAACTCAAGGACCCGGACATCATCAGATTTTTAGGCATGGCAAAACAAATGTTTTTTATTGGCAAGCTGTGTTTGCCGTGGATGACAAGTTCAGTTGGCGAGCATGACAATTCCACCTCAGTTCATTTTTTGCCAGAAAATTGTCATGCTTGCAAACTAAATTTGCCATCCTCGTGCCAATATAAATCACCATGAAAAACATTCGGTTTGCCGTGTCTAAAAATCTCGCGTCGGATTTTTAGCCATTCCAAAACTCAAAGGGCAATGATAAAGTTCCTACCGTATCCAACAGGGATCAAAGTTGAAGCAAACTGCCTTGATCTTTCAACAATGAAAGATGGCTGACACAATTCAGCTACACCGCTCAGGGAACCCCAAGGGCCGACAACATGTTGCAAACTAACAACGTAAGCGCACAAAAAATGAAGGGTATGTGAAATCAGCAGAGGGTAGGTTAGCATTCTGTACTAACGTAGCAAATCAGCGGGTATTGTGTCAAGTCCTGATGCAAAGTCACCACGAGCAGCTAGATAGAGCATCCCAACGCAGATCATCGAACGGTTTCGTGCATTCGAATTGGTTCGATGGTGATCTAATACTAGTGACCTACAGATATCTAATGTGCTGGAACTTTGTTTAGACGCTGCCCTGCCCCGTGTCCTATGAGATGACGCGTTAGTCGTCCTTCTGGCAGAAATCACGACAGGTCCCGGACAGCGGCCTCGCAGATTTTCCACGATCGGTCGTCCTGCCTCCTCAGCGTGTACTGAACTTCATACGTACTGCAAGTATAACCACACAAATCGTCAGTGCTATGTTACTCCAGAGCAGAATGAGAAAGATAAACAGAAATGGCATGTTCTCAAGTACCTGTAATAACTGGGCTTCTTGGGCTGGGAGTCATCAACAAGCTCAGCAGCTTCCTCGAGCACAGCATCGATTTCCGCCACTTCACCGTCACCAGCCTCATCCAGCAGGATCTCGGCTCGGACAACAGAGAGATTCAGCAGAACAAATCTCCAGTAACAGGACTGATCCTTTGCTGATAAAGCCAAGTCTTGCCACTGTTCAACAAGAGGGTATTTGATTTGATTATACACAGCATACACAATCATGCATGAACTACATGTGCCATTACGTGCTTGATAAAAGGAACTTACCTTTGACAGCATCGAACCATCGAGGACCTCGGAGAGCATATCGATTTCATAGTCAGGGCCAAGAGCTTCGGACTTGATATCTTGCCACTGCTTCACAAGCGCTTCTGCTTCTTGAAGAGACATCCTTTCCTTGCGAGCTATAGCAGCCACATCGCTAGAACCAGGAGACAGATCACTTCTTTCGCCTCTCGGATGGAGCCTATTGCTCAACCAAAGCATTTTTGACAGCTTCTCAAACTGTTCCCTGACTCTGCTACTGATAAAAGAATTTTCTGATGAAGATGCTTCATTCAGAGAAGATGTGGCTGCAGATTCTCTAGTTGAGGAGGCAGGTTTTGTGTTCCCAAACTGAAACCTGACCAGTTTCAATGTACCAAAGAGGGCAAACCCCAGGACTGCAGTGTAAGCGATTTTTCCTATAACATCCCCAGTCAGGCCCCACGATTCCAAGGTTCTTACAGGATGGGATCCAGGGTTGCGCTTCAGAGGAACAGATGTTGTACTTAAACCATTCACTGGCCTATCCGTTGATGAATGGCCCTGGACCCCCAGGGTGGTTGGTGCAAGCTGCTTTACAGCTTCCCCGAGATGGCTGGTAGAATTTAATCTTGGATTCTGCTGTCCTGAAGTTCTGTTGCATGTGGAGGCACTAGGAGACGTCTGAGAGCTCAAAAGGACCCTTCTCGTGGCCCCTAGTTTCTGCTTGGAAGTGCTAATGAGGCGCTTAGGAGCAGCAAAGAAGTTGGCCTGTCATAAGATGACATTGATAGTTAAATTAATCCACAGAGAATGTTATTTGGGATTCAATTACTAAAAATAGCATGGCGCATACCAAGGATGGCGGACAATCTCTTGTATCTGCAAAACGAGAAAGTGCCACCTCCTTCAGCCACAGTTCCTGGTAAAGACAAGTTGTCAAGCATGAGATAGTGTCAACAGAACATAGGCACAGTAATAACTTCAGACAAATATATCTTTCATTTTGAGCTGCAAAAATGTCTTATATTTAGGAACAGAGGAGTAGCATACTACAACTTATTTGTTCTAATTGAACTGCAAAAACATCTTATATTTAGGAACAGAGGGAATAGCATAGTACAACTTATTTGCTCTCATCGCAAGATGCAACATACCAGTGACTGGTTGACAGTAACCTTGTCACTGCTGTCTTTCTTTTTAGCTAACCCATAATTTCTTGAATTGGAACTTCCATTACTTTGAAGCTGCTGAAGCTTTTCGAAAACTGTGGCGCCAGATTCCTGAGAGCAAGCCTTTAGTCCTAGTAATGTGCAATTGTGCATTACTAAATTTATAGAAATTGAAATTAGCTTATCACCTCTCCAAGAAGAAACGAGCAAAAAGATTCCTCAAATTTCAGGTCGGTGTTCTCAGATGCAACTAAGCATTCGCAGATGGTTTTAGCTTTACTTATCTGCACAGAGGTAATGTTAATTAAATAATGGAAAAGCAGCAAACAGGATAGCTTGGTTCATATAGGCTACAAGTAGAAGTAGAAGAAAGAAGGTACCAACTCAGTCTGGCGGGTTGAAAATCCAGACGCAAGGTGTGCAAGCATTGCCCTGTAGAAGCAGTTGAAGTCAACTACCACCCGCTGGCTCTGGGACTCCAACGATTTTTTGTTTTTACGAGTTGTAGCCAAAGAGTCCCAAGAAAGTAGTTCCACAATTTCAGTGGCTAATAGCTTGTCCATTGCCTGGCCCAAGAAATAAGGCCAATCATGAACTCTGCATGATGACTCAACATCAAGTCCCTGTCCAAGCAATTCACAGAGAGCTGCAATAGCACCTCGCCTGCGTTCAGAATTTTCAGGTGTACGGGGCAGGCTTAAAACCTCTAGAGTGCAAGCTGGTGCAAGCTCTTCAAGTGATTCTTCGATCTAGTTCACCCAACAAGAGAAGTTATGACATGATCTCATGCATGGACAAATCTGTAAGGTGAAAGCAATAACATGTTACCTGCTCAAGAAGGGGCATCTTCTCTAAAGATGGTTTTTTCCTCAAAAGATATTGAGCACGTGCTAGAGCCTCAAAGCCAAGAGATACTTTACTTTTTTCAAAGCTAGCTTTTGCAATGGAGCACTACAGGAAAATGCATGGAATTATTCCAAGTTGCCAAAGATGTACATAATAAACACTGTACCAAGCAGCTTTTTTCACTTTAATCATGCATAGTACTTACTTCAGCTAGTGCCATTGCAAGAAGTACATCGTGAGCATATGGCTTAGAATCAGGACGTCGTAGAGCTGCCTGACCAATGTCCAAAACCAGCTTCTCTTCCCCAACCTGAAAACAATACTGTCATGTGGTATCTTACACTAGCAATAAACAAACAAGCCAGTACAAGATGATAAGACAAGCACATTCAACTCTGATGAACGGAGGCTACTAAGGACTCTCCATGCTTGAGACTTTAAATCTCACAAACATCAAACTGATCATCAATCACATTTAAGAATTGTACACCTACCTAGTCCGAAAGATGGGTATAATTGAATTTTATATGCTCCTTACAATAATACTACAGATTTCACCATAGAGATTTCATAATTTTGTTCAAGAAAGCATAGATAAATCTGAAACAGCCTGCAACTTTTCAAACTGCCTCGATAAGAAAAATAAGAAACACAGTCGGTGTTCAACTAAATATTTCCTGTTTTAGTAAACTTCAGAGAACAGGGCATGCCCATGATATTAACTATCCCATGTGATACAGATGTGAAACATTTCAGTACATGGTTATAAGACAAGCACATTCAACTGTGTCGAACAGAGGCTACTAGGATTCTCCATGCTTGGGCCCTTAAAACATCAAAGTGATTGTCGATCACATTTCAGTATTTCACACCTATCTAGTCAAAAAGATGGAGATTATTCAGTATCTACATGCTCCTTACAACAAATACTACAGATATTGACATACATTTCAGTATTTTACACCTACCTAGTCCAAAGGATGGAGATTATTCAGTATCTACATGCTCCTTATAATAATACTACAGATATTGACCAACATTTCAGTAACCTAGTCCAAAGATGGGCATAATTCAATTTCTACATGCTCCTTACAATAATAGTATATATATTGACCATGGAGTTGGCATAATACTGTTTTATTTTATTAGTCTTTCAAGAAAGCACAGATAAATCTTAAAACACCCTGTAACTTTTCAAACCGCCTTGATAGAAAAAACAAGAAACACTGTCAATGTTCAACTAAATATTGTGCTGTTATGGTGAACTTCAGAGAACAGGACACCCCCATGACATTCACTATCCGATGTGATACAGATGTGAAAGGCCTAAACCAAGTTTAAATGGACCAAAACTGACAACTACCCTTCATTTGTACATATGAATCTTTCGACTGGAGGGGTTTTATGCAACACATTACCTCCTGCAAGACACACAAGGCAGCAGGCAACCAGCTCCAGGGTATATGGAGAGAGGATCTGGGCGGAACCTTGGCCCTGGTGCTTCCTGCATACTCCTGTTCAAAGAGAAGCTTGTCTCTCACGTCCAGCAGCAGAGCCTGACAGAAAACCAACAAGCCGCACAACGTTAAACACCTTGGGGCTGGCTGCATATGACTACTCCGAGAAAAACTGTGTTCACGTAATTGCTAAATTCAGCGGGCAACCTGTCTGCAGGTGGACACCTCCTCCGTGTACCCGTCTTCGATCTCCGACTTCCTCAGCTCGATGGCCGACTTGACGATCTCGTCCTTCTCGGCCTTCTCCGTGACGCCCAGGATCTGCACGGTCAATTGGACGGACGCGTCATAAACTGGAAGAGGACATGATCCAGCCGCTTCTGGCCTGGAGAAAACTACGAAATCTCGGAACCCATCCGCGGCAGTACAGTCCAATTCAAGTGTGTGGAAGAAACTGCAGGCGCGAATTCAGTTTCCAACGGATGCGATGCGAGGGCGTTGAATTTTGACGAGGAAACCCACAGCCAGCTCGCCCGTAACCGCACCAGCGGATCGAGCGGCCGACGCGGCGCGGGGCGGCGGCAACGGCGGGGCCCGCATTTCCGGGGAATTCGAACTCGGGGGCGGAGAACGGGCTCGCTCACCTGGTAGCACGTGACGGGGATCTCGACGGCGGGCGCGGCGGGGGCCTCCTGCCTGCCGCATCCCTCCGCCGCCCCGGTCACCGGCGCGGCGGCCCCCGCCACCATCGCCCGCACCGCCGCACCTCGCCGCGCGCCCGCGCCGTTTCCGGCGGAGGCATTGCCGCCGCACCGCGCCGAGGAGGAGGAGGAGGAAGGGGCACTGCGGCGCGCCGAGGAGGTGGAGGGGGACGGGGCGGCGACAGCGGAGGGGTGGAGCAGCGCCGCGGCGGCCGTGGGCATGGCCATGGCCGGGGAGGGAGCGCGTGGGGTGGGGGGGTCTAGCCGGCCCGCGTCTCCGGAGCGCGCGCCTCCATGCGCGGTGGGGGGTTTTGGGGGGAGGGAGGGGAGAATAAAGGGCGAGGGAGGGAGAAAGCGTCAGCGCAGCGGGGGTCGTCAAGGCCAAGCCGGAGACCGGCGAGATGGATCGGGTTTTGTTTTTTTCATTCGCTGCGTGGACCTGGCTCACGAGCTGGTCGGTAGACGCGCTGCGGTGCTTTGATGACGGTGCTACGACAGGTGGGCCACCGCGGGCGCTGACGCTTGGCCCATCCGAATTCATTTTGCCTTTATGTGAAAACGACACCCTCGCTTCTTTTTCCGAACGTATTTGCTGCCAGCCAAGTCATGGGACAATTTTCCCATCACTTTTGTTTTCATCAAAAAAATAATGGGACAATTTCGTCGACAATTAATTAAAAGAGAGAAAATTGGTAACAAGCATTTGCACAATCCCCCGACCTCGACGACGGGCGTGAGGTGTCGGTCGGTAGTTTGGCTCTCTTGGTCCATATTTGACAGAAACCAAGCACCGTGTTGGTATCATGGCATCCAGGCAGTGGCGGAGGACCGGTAGGGCAAGGGTTGACGGCCGCCCTACCTTGATTTGTCCGGCGTAGGCAGGGTTGCAAGGCGGCGAGTGACCAAAGCCCACCCTACCTCAACTTATGTGTATCCTCCATCAATGTATGCAAGGCCAGTCACCCCTCACATGCTCCGTCAGATATGGAGCGTATGGCAGCCTCATATTTCAAAGAGGTATATACTAAAGATCCTACACTTTCCCCTGAGTCGGTATTGGTGTATTGTGCCTAAGGTGACTAATGAGATGAATGCTTTGTTGTGTGAGCCTTATACGAAGAAAGAGATATCTGATGCTTTATTCCAGATTGGACCTCTTAAGGCGTACAGATGGATTTCTCATAACATCGGAAAGAGTCTATGTCAGAGCTTAAAAGCAAATCCACATACTCAACTATCACTTAGTCCTTCATAATTACTAACACTCACGCAATACTTGTGGTTACGGAGTTTTAATCGGACACAGAGAAAGATAGGGGCTTATAGTTTTGCCCCACAACCTTTTACCTCAAGGGTAATGTCAACAATAACAATTCATGCACCCCCACATCCAATTAGATATACTCCCTCAGTTCCTAAATAATTGTCTTTCTAGATATTTCAACAAGTGACTACATACGGAGCAAAATAAGTGAATCTACACTCTAAAACATGTCTACATACATCCGTATGTTGTAGTCCATTTGAGATGGCTAGAAAGACAATTATTTGGGAACGGAGGGAGTATATATCATGTTCTTTCCAATATGCTGAGCTTGCCAAAGGATAAAAATAAAAAAGGAAAGGTGAAGATCACCGTGACTCTTGCATAAGGTAGAGGATAATAATAAAAGATAGGCCCTTCACAGAGAGAAGCAGAGGTTGTCATGCGCGTTTAGGGTTGATGCACAAAATCTTAATGCAAAAGAACGTCACTTTATATTGCCCCTTGTATGTGGACCTTTATTATGCAGTCCGTCGCTTTTATTGCGTCCACAACAAGTTTGTACAAAGTTTATTTCTCTGCACTAATAAGTCATGCATATTTAGAGAGCAATTTTTATTGCTTGCACCGATGACAACTTACTTGAAGGATCTTACTCAATCCATAGGTAGATATGGTGGACTCTCATGGAAAAACTGGTTTAAGGGTATTTGGAAGCACAAGTAGTACTTCTACTTGGTGCTGAGAATTTGGCTAGCATGAGGGGGAAAGGCAAGCTCAACACGATAGAGGATCCATGACAACATACTTTATCTCGGATGTAAGAAAACATAACTCATTATGTTGTCTTCCTTGTCCAACCTCAACTCTTTAGCATGTCATATTTTAATGAGTGCTCCCAATCATAAAAGATGTCAATGATAATATATCTATATGTGAAACCTCTCTTTCCTTATTACTTCATATTAATTGCAACGATGACCAAAGCTATATTTGCCAACTCCCAACAACTTTTAATCATCATACTCTTTCTATGTGAAGTCATTACTTTCACTAAGATCAATATGAACTCCTTGATTCTTTTTATTCTTTTTCTTCTAATCACCTAAGATCATGGTAAAATACTCAAGCCCTTGACTCAACACTAATCTTTATTATATAGCTCACGGACTCGATTACAAAGAAGGATCATAAAGCAAAACCAAAAACTAGATCATGCCAAGACTTTATTCTACTAAATGAAGATACTACTAATAGGATCGAACTAAGAAAAAGGGTAAAAGATAGGAGTTGTGATGGTGATACGATACCAGGGCACCTCCCCCAAGCTTGGCAGATGCCAAGGGGAGTGCCCATACCCATGTGATTATGTCCTCGGAGGTGATGGAGGTGTTGTTGATGATGGAGTCGTTGCATTTTTCTTCTCTAGCTTGCGTCTGGGGCTAAATTTTCCTCCCTCAGATCCTCATTCTCGAGCTCAAGTTTCATTATCTTTTTGCATAGTGCTGCCTTGCTGTCCTGCAAGAAACGAGGCGGGATAGATTGGACCTTATGGAGGCTTGACTTCTTGAACTCCACATGCATATCACCAGGTTGAGGTAGGGGATAGTCCTCTTCGTCGGAACTCGTTTCCTCCTTCCTCTTTGGATCATAGTCTTCTTCTTCCTCCGTGGTCCAGCCATAATGCTCCACATCCCCATATACTTTTGGGTTTGCAATATAATCAGCCATGTAGCTCTCTCCCTCCGAATCTTGGGAAGACATCTTGCTCTAATCTGCAGCAGCAACAGCTCGAAACAAAAACAGAGGATATTTGCGTGATACGGGAGTCAAAACCTTCGGAAGTATATATATAGAATTTTTACCGACCAAAATACATATCGTGCAAGAAAACGGAGTCCGGAGGGCACACGAGGTGCTCACGAGGTAGGGGGCGCGCCCAGGGGGTAGGGCGCGCCCTCCACCCTCATGGAGGCCTTGTGTCCTCCCCGGACTGCTACTTATTTTTCTATTTTTCTAAATATTCCAAAACAGAGAAATATTGCCTTAAAAATTGTTTTGGAGTCGGTTTACTTACCGTACCACATACCTATTCCTTTTCGGAGTCTGGAACGTTCTGGAAAGTGTCCTTTATGTATTCCTCCGGGGTTACGGTTTCAATAATATTAGTTTCAACATTTATAGGATTACCTGAGATATAGTGTTTGATCCTTTGACCGTTCACCACCTTCGGATTTGTGCCTGCAAAGTTGTTGATTTTTATGGCACCGGAACGATAGACCTCCTCGATAACGTAAGGACCTTCCCATTTAGAGAGAAGTTTTCCTGCAAAAAATCTTAAATGAGAGTTGTATAGCAATACATAATCACCTACATTAAACTCACGCTTTTGTATCCTTTTATCATGCCATCTTTTGACTTTTTCTTTAAACAACTTGGCATTTTCATAAGCTTGGGTTCTCCATTCATCAAGCGAGCTAATATCAAATAACCTCTTCTCACCGGCAAGTTTGAAATCATAGTTGAGCTCTTTAATAGCCCAATATGCCTTATGTTCTAGTTCGAGAGGTAAGTGACATGCTTTTCCATAAACCATTTTATACAGAGACATACCCATAGGATTTTTATATGCAGTTCTATAGGCCCACAATGCATCATTCAATTTCTTGGACCAATTCTTTCTAGACCTATTGACAGTCTTTTGCAAAATTAATTTGAGCTCTCTATTGCTCAATTCTACCTGACCACTAGATTGCGGGTGATATGGAGATGCAATTCTATGATTAACATCATATTTAGCAAGCATCTTACGGAAAGCACCATGAATAAAGTGTGAACCACCATTTGTCATTAGATATCTAGGGACTCCAAACCTCGGAAAAATAACTTCCTTAAGCATTTTAATAGAGGTGTTATGATCAACACTACTAGTCGGAATAGCTTCTGCCCACTTAGTAACGTAATCAACAGCAACTAAAATATGTGTATATCCATTAGAGGCAGGAAAAGGTCCCATATAATCAAAGCCCCAAACATCAAATGGTTCAATAACAAGTGAATAATTCATAGGCATTTCTTGACGTCTACTAATATTACCAATTCTTTGACATTCATCGCATGACAAAACAAACTTACGGGCATCCTTGAAGAGGGTAGGCCAATAAAAACCGGATTGCAATACCTTATGTGCAGTTCTATCTCCAGCGTGGTGTCCTCCATAAGCTTCAGAGTGACACTTGCGTAGGATTTGTTCCTGTTCATGCTCAGGTACACAACGCCTAATAACACCACCTACTCCTTTATAAAGATGTGGGTCATCCCAAAAGTAATGTCGCAAGTCATAGAAAAACTTTTTCTTTTGTTGGTATGTGAAGCTAGGTGGTATAAATTTAGCAACAATATAATTAGCATAATCAGCATACCATGGAGTGCTACGAGAAGTGCTTATGACATTTAATTGTTCATCAGGAAAGCTATCATCAATAGGTAGTGGGTCATCAAGAACATTCTCTAACCTAGATAAGTTATCTGCAACGGGGTTCTCAGCTCCTTTTCTATCAACAATATGTAAATCGAATTCTTGCAGCAGGAGAACCCATCTAATAAGTCTAGGTTTTGCATCTTTATTTTCCATAAGATATTTAATAGCAGCATGATCTGTGTGAATAGTTACTTTAGAATCAACAATATAGGGTCTGAATTTATCACAAGCAAATACAACTGCTAAAAGTTCCTTTTCGGTAGTAGCAAAATTTCTTTGAGCGTTGTCTAGAGTCTTACTAGCATAATGGACAACGTTTAATTTCTTATCAACTCTTTGCCCTAGAACAGCACCTACAGCATAATCACTAGCATCACACATAATTTCAAAGGGTAAATTCCAATCAGGTGGCTGAACAACAGGTGCAGAGACTAATGCTTTCTTAAGTATTTCAAATGCTTCTACACAATCATCATCAAAGAC